CGCGGCGCCAAGGCGATTGCCACATTTTGAAAAGGAACCGCCATCCATCTTTGAAGCCGTTGTAAACTTTGATTAGCACGACTGTGCGTGTCGCTAAAGCGAGAGCCGCTTTTGAAAACCAGTCGCCGTCCATCTTTGATTTGCTGCACACTTGTACGACGAGTGAGCGCGGCGTTAAGGCGCGAGCCACTTTTTGAAAACCAGTCGCCCTCCATCTTTGATGCTGTTGCAAATATTTAATCGAAGGTGCGCGGCGCTGAGGCGAGAGCCACAGTTTGGAAACGGCCCGCCGTCAATTCGTGAAGCTCTGTCACTTTGTAACTCGAAAGTGCGCGGCGCTAAGGCGAGAACCGCAGTTTGAAAACGACCCGCCCTCAACCCGTGAAGTTCTTACAAAGTGCGTGACTAAGGCGAGAGCCACATTTTGAAACTGTTGTAATGTTCAAATTCGGTTGAGAGCGGGTATAATGCGAGAGCCACAGTTTGGAAGCGGGCCGCTCTCTAGTCGTGGAATTTGTGCCAACTTTCAAGCTGGAGGATCATGTAAGAAAGTCTCCAGTGAAACGCTCGGCCCACCCTTCGACCGGCCTCGGGGTGCCACAGGGAGGAGTTCTTGTAAGGAGAAGGAATGGAGCAGGCGGAGCAGAAATGGAAGGGAACATGAGCATGAGCATGACCATATGACTAAGTCAGTGAATCCTCCACATCGCTATACATTACGATTGCGCCTGGTGGCTTTCTCAGCCTTGCTCAAGACCTTTGGCCACGAGCCTTGGGAGATCAACCGTAGATACTCGGCTCTGTGCGTGGTGGGAGGCGTCACGCACACACGACCCAGGGCCAGGAGCTGCTGTGATCCGTAGCTGCCACAGCCGACGCAATACCACAACTTCAAATCACCATGGAACTGCATTCGATGACTGGAGTGAACATAGCCACCCGCGATGTGCAACAACGCGCCCTGAGGTTTCCGAAAGAACACGCGATTATAATTGATCGGGGAGAAACATCGGGACCTGAGCCATTCCGTTCGGGTCGCTTTCGACGCCGATCCTCCGCACCTGGTGCACCTGCACCCTGTGCCGTCCACAGAATGGGACGAGGCAAGAAGGGCGAGAGAGGCAGCAGCAGGAGGCGGAGGACGGGGAGGGACGGCAGGACCTTTTTCCTCCTCAGCACACCTTTCCTTATCCTCAGCCGCCATGGAGTCGAGAGTGGCTCGCAGAATGCGCATCCTGACGAGCCGAGCTTTCCTCTCCTGTAGCAGCACCCTATTACGGACCGCATCTGCCAAGCGGGCCTCGCAAGCCGCCTGTCCAGCGATCCCGTCCACTATCAGGTTGCTTGCCACCGTCCACCGAGGAGCCTTCCCTTCGACGATGTCCGTGGCAGACAGGTGTGAATTGACAAAAAGGACGGTGATGGCGTCGTGGGGCCTCTTTCTCAGCAGACTGCCCAGGCGCTCCCAGAGGTCGGCGCCCTCGCCTGTGGGCGCCTCGAACTTGCGACAATAAAATCCTGAAACTACCGATTCGCAATCCGAAATGAAAACGATGGAGCCTGTGGTCATCCAGACTGCCAAGAGCAAAGCACGCAACCCGCCTCGAGCAACGATCTGTCTGGGCCCCGTCAGCGGGCCTCTGACAGTCGAGGCTAACTGCAGCTGGGGCTCTAGAGCATGCATGAACGCCACAGCGACACCTACACGTCTGAAGAGCGGGCTGGCCGTGTCTGGCCCCCCGCTCGCATCTCCAAAAGCAAAAAGCGGCGCCTGCTCCGATCCTCCCGCGACACAACCCTCAACCACAGCCTCCCCGAACAGCTCCTCGGTGCCGACCCACACCTCAGCATCACAAGGCGGCGGCACCTCTGCCCAGGGCGCTGGGGTGAGGCCACGGAGCCAGAAGCCCTGGTCGGCCTCGCCTTGCGCGAGAGCCTGCGGGATCAGATCGTCCGACTCAGTGTACGCATCCTTCTCGACGTTGCTTTCACATAACCATATCCGATGCATCATGTCTTCTGGTGCTGTCCGACATCGCGGACACACAACATCACCCGTGTACCTGCTCAGCTCTTTCTTCTTGCGCTGCCGCGGCCAGCAACCTCCCACTGCACATGCCAGCGTGACCTCCGCCAAGCGGTGGCCGTACACTGGGACCGCTGCCAGCTGCTGCAGCAAGATCTGGCATGACACACAGTCGACGCCCTGGGTCAGGCCAGCCCCGCAGAAGTGCTGGCCCGCCTTCTGCCACAGGCCGTGCTTCAGGGTCTGCTTGAAGTCCATGATGAAGCCCAGGTGCGAGCCCAATGCTGCAATGCCCGAGTACATGTCATCGTCGAACTTCCATGTGTCCCCAGCGGCAGGGTGGCTATCAGGAAGATCCCATGATGTGGCCTGTTGTGGGTCCCAGCCTGCCTCCATCAGGTGCAGGACGGTGGCCGTGATGGGGGCCCCTCACATGGCGCACTCGCTGCGCGGCTGGTAGCTCCTGCATGTGCTTGTAGACGTTGCCCCACGCCTGTCGCACACCTGCTCGCAACTCGGGCTGCTCCCTCCAGGCCCGCAGCCACAAGTCCAGCGTCTCGACTGGTAGCTTGATCGCTGGATCCAGATCCCCAGCCCGCATGGCCAGCAGCGCGGTCAGGCAGCGGCCCCGCGCGGGCGCCGCCAACGCCTGACCCAGGCGCCGCCGAGCCTGCATCATCCTGGCGCCGAAAGTGCCGTAGGCTTGGTGCCCGTGCACCCCTGCCGCCTGCGCCCCCTGCTTCTCGAGCCCCCCCCCGTTACTCGATACTTCTTCGACACGAGCGCATACCGACGCACCTTGCCACTCATGGCCTTGTGCTTGGCGCCCCTCTTTACCCTTGCTTCGCGAGCCATCCTTTTGCCCCCGCCCAGGTCGACCCCCAAGTAGGTGGCCTGCTTGACGGGTTGCACAGAGTAGCCTGCACGGGCCACTCGCCTGGCAACCCACCGAGCGTCCTGGAACGACGAACAGATGATATCTGATTTGGACGCGACCTTCAGTTGCTTGGCTCTCAGCTCCTCGCAAGTATTGGTGACACATGCCGCCAATTCTTTACGCGCAGCAGCCCGCGATCCCCGAACTGACTGGGACAAGTCGTCGATCCAGATGCGATGCCCCATGCTCGGATGGGCGACTGTGATGACCTCCATCACGTAGTGGGTCATGGTCTTGGCGAAACGTGTTCCAGTCCTGATGCCCTGGACCACGCTCCGCGATGGCTGAAAAGCCCGCGTCGATGCGCCAAGCTGGCTCAACGAGCGAGCTGCGACGCACTGCAACAGCTCCAGGTGCAGCACCTGCGGCGGGAACTCGAGCGCCAGCGCACAGGGGGCCAGCGGCGCCCACTCGATGGAGTCGTAGAACGACTGAATGTCAACGAGGGCCTCGCCCGTGGCAACTCCACGGTGATGGGGCACTTCCTGCTGCAACGCCCGCACGAAGGCCTCGCGGAGGCTAGAATTCTGCGTCCCAGTGAGCTTCTGCCGATGCTGACCAGCTGCGAACGCATGGCTCACGAATAAGACTCCGCAGCCTGTCCACAATCGATACTAGACCTATGATGTGATCTCCATTTGATTTCTTAGGCAATAAGCGCCCTAGAATCAAAAGGATCTGGCCTGGCCATACAAGATGATACTCGCAAGCTTGATACAACAACGCCAGCTCAGCGAGCGCCTCGTCGGGGAGGCGCTCAAAGCCGAGTGGGCTAAGCATGTCCACCCCCATGCCAGCACGTCCCTTCATCTTGCGAAGAGCATCTCTCGCTTCCGAAATTGAAATATCTGGCGAGGACTCCGTGGCAGCAGCAGCTTGAATCTTGGCGAAGGTCCGAGAGATTTCGTCTTCATCCAAAGCTGCTGGTGCCCACAAGTCGTGCCATAACTTAGCTTTGTGGTCAATCATATCACGTGGGTGATAAAGAACTCTATCTTCAAGAACCGTGTCCAGGCTCGGCAAAGCCTGAGGATTGAGGGCCTTGTGTAGAGCTCCCACGGCGCCATCCTCACCCATGAAATCCTTGAACTCATTGACACTTTCCTGAACTGCTCTGCGCTGGGCTCTCCCCATGATCCTCCTGGAGCTGTCCTCAAAGCTCGCGAGCACTGGTGTGACCACCTCGCCCGCGCTGCTCAGAACCCTCTCCCACTCCGGCCATGGGGGGTCACGCCCGTCGAGGAGCACGCGCTGTACATGCTCAGGCCGATCAGCCAGGTGGCGCACACAGCCTTGTACGTAGCGCTCGACTTGCAGAGCACCATTGTCCTTCGTCCTGTGCAACGCACGGCCTGCGAGCAGCGCGTTGACTTGTGTCCACCACCCGCTGACCTGATCCCGCAAAGGTGTCGCGCGTACCTTCTGCGGGGGCTTCACTGTGGTCACCGTGAACCTGGGCCCCGTGGCTCTCGAAGGGCCTCGTGGCAGGTCCATTCCACGATGAGAAGTGTTTGTGGATTCGACAGCTGACACCCAAGAGGCGTAGAGGCCTGAAATAGTCTCAAGCTCGGCAGGCTTGAGTCGAACGGCTACGGATTGACGCAGAGCAGGAGCAAGGGACTGAAGAGTGGCTGCCCCAGAGATGAACCCTACATCACGCCTACATCTAGTCCACAAATCTGTCGGGATAGCGAAAGACGGGGCTCCTCCAGAGCCTTCCCCCTCCAGCCCAGGCCCCAGGGGGCCTCCTGCCCCAGAAGAGTCCAGGGTCTGCGACTGAGGATGGCCAAGAGCAGGAGCCGCAGCGCTCGAAGGCTCCACCCCAGACTGCTCGGCCACTTCAGGCACGCCCCTGGAGACCTCGTGAGACCTGTAAGAGGGCCCAGGCTGGGGATCTCTTAGCATACTGCAGAAATGGAGGGGAGGAGGAGGAGGAGGAGGAGGAGGAGGAGGAGGAGGAGGGGGAGAAGGAGGAGGAGGGTTGGTCTCCGCCGCCGTCGAGGGCGGGGCGGGGGGGGGGAGGGGGCCCCGGGCGAGGCCGCGACTCCCGCGCAGCTGCTGCAGGCGCGCGGCCCGCCCCAGATCGAGGGAGGGAAGGGGGAGGGAGGGGGGGGGTCGAGGGGCGAGGATGGGGAGGGAAATGGAGGGGAGCGTCGAGGAAAAGAGGGGGGGAAGCGAAAAGGGAGGGGAAGGAGGGAGGGGAGGGGAGGGAAAGGGATGGAGAGGGCCGAGGAGGAGCCCTCGCCCCTGGTCGCGAAAACGTCCGAGGAAGCGCAGAAATGGGTTGAGAGGCGCGTGGAGTCGCGGCGGGTCTCGTCTCCGTGCGTAATCGGCGCGCTCCGTCGCCAAGCAAGGCGGCATAGGTGTGAGCGTGTGCCCGAGACATCGCGGCATATGGTGTTTGGCAGTTTGCCAGGCTTCCAGCTCGTCGCCATTTTGGCGTTGCACGTGGACCTGGTGCCTTTCCTGGTTCGCCTTGTTTTCTGAGCCGCAGCGTAGTTCGCTTTTGCGCGCTCGGGGCTTAATCTAGATCGTGGCCCTGCTGCTTCGCTCTGACGGCGCCTGGCACACCTGCGCGTTCGCGAACCAAAACAAATGTTTGGCAGTTTGCGGCCTCCAGGGGCACTCGCCGGGCCGCGGGGCCGCCAGAACGGCTCAGCACGACAACGACCAGCGCAGACCCCAACTAGATCAGACGGTTGAAGGTCAGTGGGCTGGAGTGCACTGAAGTAGGCTGGACTGGAGTTATCTTGACTGGAATGGACTGGACTGGGGTGGGCGCTGCTCCACTACTCTGTTCTACCCGACTCTCTCTACCATCTACCTTGTTCTGATATGTTCTACCTTGCTCCGACCTCGTCCTACCTGAACCTACTCCAATGTGTCCTCTTTGTTCGAGCCCGTAGTGTGGGAGTTACGGCGGGCACCCAGGGGAAATTTTGCATGCAGATTTTGAAATCATTGGGTAGGGAAACTTTCTCGAAGAGGGTGGGTACCAATCGTTACAATGTTTCTTGGGGTCATGTTGGTGTCCCGTGGGGGTCGGACGAACTCTTGGGAGTCCCAGGGGGGTGTGAGACAGGAGATGCGTGATAGGTATGCGTAATCGAGGCTGTTTTTGCCTTGCGAGGGCAGCTCACTCGTGAATTTGCGTGACCCAGGGTATACCCGACGGGAAATACGTGAGGGGTGCGCCGACGCGAGACCTTCGTGGCCGTAGGGGCACGGATCCCACGTGCCCCAGGAGCTGTGATCAGCCTTGCCCCGCGGAATGCGCGAGGCTGCTCTCGGCACGCCTTTACGCATGTTTCTCGCCGTGCTCTGCCCCCCTCCCCCTCATTGTTCTCTTGGTGGTGGCAGTAGCGATCGAATATTCTCGCATGGTCAAGCCTCGCGCATGTGCGAGGCGGTGGATACGTCCATGACGCAGCGCGCACATATCTGCAGACAGTGCTTCAAAATTCCTGCCTGTCCTGTCGTCGTCCTCCCCCTTCCTTCTTTCCCTTTTCCCTTGCCTGCCGCTGTGCGGTGTTGGATTATATAAGTGACCGCTTGAGTCACAGAGGTTATCCGCACAGCGCCTTGCCCCTTTTTTTCTTCCTCTCCTCTTCCACCTCCCTCCTCCTCCTCCTCCTCCACCTCCTCTTTGTCCTCGTCCGTTTTCGCTCGCGCTTGCGGGCCGAATTTCATGACATGTTCGTTGCTTGCTGACGCGCCGAGGAACTGCTACTTCAGTCCAGTTGTTTACCCTAAGCTCGCGCTGCGGAAATGTTACTGAAGACCGGCCTTGTCTTTGGGCACTGCCTCTGCGTGGGTAACACATTCATCATCCATTTCGTGATCATCTCATCATGTGCCCCCGACGGCTAACACGGCGAGGACCCGCCGCCGAATTTGATCGCTTCGCCCATTCAGCCAGCCTAGATCGAATGGCCTTCGGCCCATCCCTCCACCGTGCCTGGGTTGTGGGTATGAGCCTTTGTTTGCCCCCCGGCTTCGCGTCCCTCCCGCTTTCCGCGAGGCCTTTTTGGAAACACCCGATCCCTTCCGAGGAGCGCCTCCGCCTTCTTGGGGGGCCGCGCCCCGCGCCCCCTCCTCCCCCCCGCCACCTCGGCGGCGCGCACACAGGGGTGGGGGGAGGGGACCTCGGAGGGGAGAGGGTTTCTTAGAAGGAGGCTGCTTCTTAGAGGGCGCCGGCCTTACATTTATAGATATGGCCCGCGCTTTCTAAGAAGCAAGGATGCTTCCAAAAAGCCTTCCCCCCTCCCCCCACCCCCGTTTGCGCGTGGCTGACCACCAGCCAAGGCGGGGGCCGCCCACTGTACACCAACACCGATCCTGTCAAGGGCGTTCGTCGGGACCTCGTCGACGCCCGTCGGTGGGCCTCCTGGAGGCAGTTCTGCTGCCTTGGGGGGGCTGTTCTGGGGCTTCTTTTGGTCAGCCACGCGCAGAGGGGGGAGGGTTTCTTAGAAACACCTGTGCTTTGCCTTATCTATAGGTGCTCTACCTGCTCCTCCTCCTCCTCCTCTGCCTCTTCCTCCTCCTCCTCCCCCTCCTCATTCTCATCCTCTTCCGGGGAGTGTGCATTTGGTTGAGAGGCGGGGCCATGTGGTCCGTAAGTCCCTAGGGACCTTGTGTCCGCTCACACTGGGGTGCAAACCCAGTTGCACATGCCATCCGATTCGGCAGGGGTGACGGTCGGGAAGTACTGCGCGGTGACGCGGTGAACCGGCTGTCCCCCTCCGCACCACGCCGTCTCGGTTGGGCAGTGAGTCGCTGAGCGACGAGGTATCTGCCTTTCCCCTGACCGTCGGTGCTGGCGCCTTGCGGGCCCCTTACTCTTGTCTGGGAGGCCGAGGGTGATGGTTGAGCCTCCCTCGCCGTTCACTTTTTGGATCTACGACACTCATGACACTCCTCCTCCTCCTCCCCCCCCTCCCTCCTCCTCCTCCTCCTCCTCTCCTCCTCCCCCCTCCTCCTCCTCCTCCTCCTCCTCCTCCTCCTCCTCCTCCTCCTCCTCCTCCTCCTCCTCCCCCTCCCCCGTATAGCTAGAAACATGGAATTGCAGTCCGTGGTTCTAGCCATGATCGCAACGTCCACGGGGGTGTCCACGCGTCCAGCTTGCGCCCCGCGTTTTGAACAACAAGAACCGCCCTCAGTCCGTGCGCGTGTGCTCTCCGGCTGCGCCCAGTGCCGAGCAGCAGCCGATTGAAAAGGAACGACCTGGACAGGAGTAGCCCTCCATCCGTGTAGCTGCGGCACGAGGGGGGGGGGGGGACAAAAAAAACACAGACACAATGAATCGTCGTTCCCCCGGAAAACATGGGAAACTATGGGTAATGGGGGGAAAACACAAACCCATAACATATGGGAACATATGATGAATCCTGTTATGTGTGTGTGTATTGTTCTGTGTGTCCCAGGGCCCCTTCAGGGACATCGGACCACGCAGGAAAATGGATGTACACAACGCCCATGTTGGAACATGTTTCGTTGCCACCTTGTGTAAATGTTGGGCGATTGGAGGCGAAAGTGCGCGGCGCCACGTCGTGAGCCACATGTTGTTGAAAACGACCAGCGCTCCACCAGTGCAGCCTCTGGAATATTTGAAGACGAACGCGCGCGGCGCTAAGTCGAGAGCCCTTTCTTCCATGCAGTCGTTGGAAGTTTCGAGCTTCGCGGATGAAGCCAGGAAAGGGGTCTCATGCGAAATGCCCAGCCCGCACGCACTGGCACGCATGGTGGCCGGACGAGGAGGAGCTATCTATAAGGAACACGGACAGTTGATGAGTTGATGATGCTTCTTAGGAGGGTGAGGATGAGGATGGTGAGGAATAGGAGGATGAGGAGGAAAACGGGTGTAATAAGTCCTTCCCTGTCGACCTAAGTTTGCCTAGCGACGAACAGAAAGGGAAGAGGAGGAGGAGGAGGAACACGGAGACTTGAGGAGGAGGAGGAGGAAGAGGAGGAGGAGGAGGAGGAATAACAAGAGGAAGAGGAGAATGATGGGGAGGAAGACGCCACCACCTATATTGCACCCGTGTGTGTGCATACATACATAAGGAGGAGGACGACGACCACGGCGGCGGCGCTGTGCAGTCGGCGGACTGGGTGTCCCGCGGCTCCTGGATCCTGCACGGCAACGGCTGCGCCCAGATCGGGCGAGCGTGGGAGCCTCGCCCCGCGGGCTGGGCCTTCCCAGCAGGAGGAGGAGGAGGAGGAGGAAGAGGAGGAGGAGGAGGAGGAGGAGAAGGAGGAGGAGGAGGAGGAGGAGGAAGAAGAGGAGGAGGAGAGGAGGAGGAGGAGAACGAAAAGGAAGAGAAGGAGGAGGAGCAGGAGGAGGAGGATGAAGAGGAGGAGAAGGAGGAGCAGGAGGAACAGGAGGAGGAGGAGGAGGGAAGAGAGGAGGATGCAAAGGAGAAGAAGGAGGAGGAGGAGGAGGACGGACATCGCGATGGTTATCGTGTGGCGCGAGCGCAGCAGCAGAAGGAGGAGGCGGAGGCGGAGGCGGAGGAGGAGGCGGCGGCGGAAGCGGAGGCGGAAAAGGAGAAGGAAGAGGAGGAGGAAGAGGAAGAGGAGGAGGAGGAAGAGGAAAATGCGGAGGCAGAGGCGCAAGAGGAGGCGCAGGAGGAGGAGGATTAGGAGGAGAAGGACCAGCGTAAACCCCAGAGTCATCAACGATGGTGGAATTAACCCTCCTTCCAAGCTCCCTCTTCACGTGCCCCTACACGGGTTCATTTCCATGGAGGGAACTGCCTCGTTGGAAGATAACCGCTTGAAGACCCTGGAGCATGCCAAAACATTGTTCTCGGGATTTCAACGCAACGGATCCATATGGCTGCTGCTTCTTGGCGATCCGGAATCGTGACATAATGCCATTTTTAGGACTTCAGCACCGCGAATCAACATAACTGTTGCGCCCGCATAATCCTGAATCCCTCCAAAACACAAGTTCTGCTACTTTGATCATGGGAATCAGCGAAGCTCTTGCAATCTTTTTAAAACGAATGTGCGCGGCGCCAAGGCGAGAGCCACATTCTGAAAACCACCCGCCCTCAATCCGTGAAGCTCTTGCAAATTTCTAAAACGAATGCGCGCGGCGCCAAGGCGAGAGCCACATTTTGCAAACCACCCGCCCTCAATCCCCGAAGCTCTTGCAAATTTCCAAAACGAATGCGCGCGGCGCCAAGGCGAGAGCCACATTTTGCAAACCACCCGCCCTCAATCCCCGAAGCTCTTGCAACTTTTTATATCGAATGTGCGCGGTGCTAAGGCGAGAGCCACATTTTGCAAACCACCCGCCCTCCATCCGTGAAGCTCTTACAAGTTTGTATAACGAATGTGCGCGGCGCTCAGGTGAGAACCACATTTTGTAAATCACCCGCCCTCCATCTGTGAAGCTGTTGTTACTTTTTCAATTTCAGAGTCATAAATTGCGAGGAAGTCTCAGGCGAAACACCTGGACGGCATCTTCTGGCCGCGGGCTGACCAGGTACTGGCGGGGTGGTCAGCCTGCGGCCAGAAGATGCCGCGGCGGTGAACAAGCTGAAACATGACCTCCGCGAGGGGTGGCGCGCGCACCGGTTCGCACAGTGGCGGCGTTCGACGCGCAACGATGCCGAATACTGCCGTGACGCAGTCCAGCACGATAGCCTACGACTGAAAGAAGCGCAGAAGCACCTGCGAAGGCAGCCGGCCATCTTGGCCGTGCTCACGGGCGCCACGATGAGCTGCGCAGCGTGGCAGTCGGCCCGCAAGGAGGAGATTGTGTGTCCGGCCTGTAGCCTGAAAGGCGGCGGACATCTCATCCTCCTCGTGTGGGACTGCCCGGGGGCCTCCGGGGCCGCCCACCATAGACGGCCGCCACGGCCAGCAGACCCGATGCAGGCACGGCTGGGGTGGCCCATCCGAGAGGACCCAGGCTACTCGATCAACGTGCTGGACTGGCACCTGCAGGTCCGGCAGGGCATCATCCACCGTAGGTAGGGTGATCCAGAGCAGGCAAACAGCCAAGGAGGAGGCGGAGGCAGGCAGGAGGAGCAGCAGCTGTCCGCAACAACAACACAGGAGGACAGGGAGGAGGCAGGAGGCCAAGGAGGAGGAGGCGGTGGCTGGCGGGAGGAGCAACAGCGGTCCGCAACAACAACAACAACGATACAGGAGGAGAGGGAGGAGGCAGGAGGCCAAGGAGGAGGCGGAGACAGCATGGAGGAGGAGATGTTGCCCGCAATGGAGGAGGAGGAGGAGGAGGAGGAGGAGGAGGAGGAGGTCGCCCGGCGAGGGCCTGCAGGAAGACCCGGCGCGCCAGCCCCCAAGGTAAGGAGGAGGGCAGGAGGTGGTGGAGGACGTGGCCGCGGCGAGCGGCCCAGGAAAGGTGCTCGCGTTGGTTCCAGGGGATGTGCCTCAATTTCGTGTCATCGGCTTCTGGACTGTGTGTTTGAGTGCGTTGCCGAGTGCATTCGCCTCACATCACTCCATCGGTAAATTACATGCCTGGCGTACGAAGCGTTTTTGGAGTGTGGCCCTCGCCGTGGTGCTAAGTAGATTCCCCAAGCAGAGCTTGCCTCTGTAGGGGTCCTAGCGGATTCATATGGTTAGGTTTGGTTTGCCGTCGATTTTCGCCGCACGCCCGGGTGCCCGGGGGTGCCCGGGGGTGCCCGGGGGTGCCCGGGGGTGCCCGGGGGTCCGGGTGCTCGGGTGCCCGGGTGCCGGGGCGTGCCGGGGGGTGCCCGGGTGCCCGGGGGTGCCCTATAGCCCCATAGTTTTATAGCCCTATAACCCTATAGCCCAATAGCCCTATAGCCCTATAGCGCTATAGCCCTACAGCTCTATAGCTCTACAGCCCTATAGCCCTATAGCTCAATAGCCCTATAACCCTATAGCCGTATATCCCTATAGCTCTATAGCCCTATAGCCCTATAGCCCTACAGCTCTATATAGCTCTATAGCCCCATAGCCCTATAGCCCATGTGCTCATGTAGCCCTAAAGCCCTACAGCCCTAAGCATTTATGATTGGGTTTTTTCTCCGGTATGATTTTCTTGTCCAACATTTTGATGCACGGATGTAGTTCCTTTACAGCGTGTGTCTCTCGCGTGAGACGTCTTTTAGTTTTTAAGGCCATGCGTGTAGCATTGTGCAACTGTTGCGTGGATGGAGGGCGGCGTCTTGTGATCGTTGGGCTCTCGCTTGAGACCTCCACGCTCTTGATTGCCATAAATGTAGAAACGTGTAGCACATTCACGGATGGGCGCCATTTTTTCTCAACACGCGGCTGTTGCCGATCATTTCTTGGATTTGGTGATTTTGCTCCTGGTATTATGTTATGTTCTCATGGCTGGAAGGGTTGAGGGTGGTTCCTTTGCAAAACAGGGGCTCTCGCCTGAATGGCAGAGCCAGGGGATGTCGTCTTTCAAGCGTGACTCTCCGCTGTGCGGACGGACTCTTGGAGGGCCTTATCAGGAGGCGAAAATGGGCGGGAGGATTTTGGCTGTCGGAGGAGGAGGAGGAGGAGGAGGAGGAGGAGGACGAAGAGGACGAGGAGGACGAGGAGGACGAGGAGGAAGAGGAAAAGTAGGCGGATGAGGAGGAGGAGGAAGAGGAGGAGGAGGCGGAGGAGGCGGGGAAGGAGGAGAAGGAGGAGGTGTAGGAGGAGCAGGAGGAGAAGGTGGAGGATAAGGAGGAGGAGGAGGTGGAGGTGGAGGAAGAGGAGGACAAAGAGGCGGATGCTGATGATGATGATGATGATGGTGATGGTGATGGTGATGGTGATGGTGATGGTGATGGTGGCGGTGGTGATGATGATGACGATGGTGACTATGATGATGATGATGATGGTGATGATGATGATGATGATGATGATGATGATGATTATGAGGATGATGATTACGATGATGCTGATGCTGCTACTGATGATGATGGTGATGATGACAACGACGACGACGATGATGACGATGATGATGGTGGTGCGGATGCTGATGATGAGGATGATGATGCTGCTGATGATGATGGATGCTGATGCTGATGATGGTGGTGGTGATGACGATGATGCTGATGCTGATTTTGATGATGGTGTTGATGATGATGATGATGATAATGATGATGATGATGGTGGTGGTGGTGCTGATAATGATGATGGTGATGATGATGATGATGATGGTGGTTATGATGATGATGGTGGTGGCGATGATGATGCTGATGCTGATGCTGATGATGCTGATGATGCTGATGATGATGCTGATGATGATGATGATGCTGATGCTGATGGTGATGGTGATGATGATGATGATGACGATGATGATGATGACGATGATGATGATGATGATGATGATGGTGATGATGACTATGATGACGATGACGATGATGATGACGATGACGATGACGATGATGATGATGATGATGATGATGATGATGATGATGATGATGGTGGTCATGATGATGATGGTGGTGGCGATGATGATGATGATGATGATGATGATGATGATGATGATGATGATGATGATGATGATTAGGAGGAGGACATGGAAGTGGATAAGGAGGAACAATAGCAATACTAATATTACGAATAATAAAAATGATAATGCTAACAAGAAGAAGACTCCGACGAATCTTAACAATAACAAGAGTAATAATAATACGTCTAATACGAACCAGAGCAATAGTACTACGAGTCAGGACAGTACAAATCATACTAATACTAAGAACATGAATACCCATACTAATATGAGTACAAATATTAATACGCGTACGAAATCTACGAATAATATTAATGAGATGAATATTAACATCAATACTACGACAAATGCGAATACCAAGAATAATCAGAATACTATGAATACTTATCAGAAGAACATGAAGAAGAAGAGGAGGAGGAGGAGGAGGAGTCCGACCTGGTCCCCCCCGGGCGCCTCCGGAGGAGAGCAGCGCATACGAGCTCACGCCATGCGGCCTCGAGAGCCTTCACGCGCTCCTGCTGCTCGTGGGCCGCGCCCCCCGCTCCCCCCCTCCCCAACCCCGCGCGCTCGTCGTGGCGGCGGAGCTCCTCCCTCCTGCCCTCCCCTCTCTCCCTCCCTCTCTTCCCCCCATTCCCTCCCTTCCTCTCTCCATCTCCTCTTCCCTCCCTCCCTCCCTGTCTCCCTCCTTCCCTCCCCCCCCCCGCTCCTTTCCTCCCTCCTCTTCCTCCGCCTCCTCCTCCTCGCGGAGTAGACTGCTAAGCATTGTGCGCACAGTTGACAGAGCGATTCTATAGGAGTAGTTCCCTGCGTCGGCCACTGCGGCGCTGCCCCGTTCTTTTTTGCCCAGAGAGTCCCAGAGTTGATGTGCCCTCCATGTCCCTCCTCATGCCGAAAGGGTAGTGAGGACGGGTGAGGACTTCCAAGCTCCAGGCCGCCTCTTTTTTTTGCTGTTTGTTTGTGGGCGAGGGGGGGAGTGAGGGAGTTGGCATATAGGCTGCTCTCAGAGTTTGACGCCCGCCCTCCAGGGACGAGGGCAGCGTGGGCCGCCTGCGCATTTCCGTTTTGCCTTGTGGCAGGGCTCCGTGCCGCGGGGCAGCCGTCCAGGGCCGCACGTCGGAGGCGGGGACGGCCGCGCCCCAGGCAGCTCCGAGGGGCACACCGCGGACTCGGGGGCCTGCCTCCCTATGCTCCCTAGGGGTCTCGCGAGTGCCTCGCCGATGGGCGCACGGACCCCCCCGCGGCCTTTTTCTCCTCCCTCCACCCTCCTCTCTCCTCCCTCCTACCTCCTACCTCCTCCTCCCTCCTCCTCCCTCCTCCTCCTCCCTCCTCCTTCTCCCACCTCCTCCCTCCTTCCTCCTTCCTCTCGAGCCATTCTGGTCCATGCGCACTGTGCTCGGTGGAGCCGCTCCAGTACCCCGGCGTTGTGCTTGAGAGATGTCCCCGCTGCAGTGACAAGTCTCGTCGTCGCTCTGGGTGCCAACCAGAGCTATGGCCATGCCGTTTACAGGGCGACGCCCCGCCGCTGAGTATATGGATCGGCTTGCCCGCGTTGCAGTCGTCCCGTGTGTGCTGCATCGCGGCCGATCGCGTTCGCCCAGCCCCAGCGTTGTGCGCGAAGAGGACAATTCCGGAACGATCAGCTACTACGACGGGGCCGCGCGCAGAGGCCGCGCCGCCTCGCGAGGCTGGCTGTGCCTGCTTGGCATCGCACTTACGCCGGGCGCTCGCCGCCGGTGGGGGCCCACGCATGATGTGTATCTTCCAGGCGCAGCTGACGCGCTTTGACATTGCCGACGAGTCCAGCCAGTCCCAGGCCCCGGTCGCGGTGGTCGAGCCCATGCGACTTGCCAGCGGTGCCTGGCGTGCTGCGGTGAACCGTCACGCTCGCTCAGTTAGCAATGCGATCAAACTACGCCAGGGCCTCGAGGCGGCGCAGGGAAGGCATGCGGCGGAAGCCATCCAGGCCGCCAAGGCCGGCGCGGTCAAGAAGAGGGCTGCCGAGGCGCAGGCCGCGGCAGAGGGCGCGAATGCACTGGCCGCCCCGTCGCCAGAGGCTGCTGGTCCAGGACCCGCATTCACGGCGACGTGGGGCGCGATCTTATTCGAGCGGCTCGAGTTCGAGGATTTGGACCAGCGCGAGTTCAACGCCGCGAAGACAAGGCTTGGGAAGCCCAAGGAGCAGTGCGACAACAAGGGGCCGCAGGTCCAGGCCCTCGTCGAGCCTGCGTGCGATGGGGGGGGCGCCCGGCAGATGCGGCGCCGAGAGAGTTGAGGGCGACGACGGCAGCGCGCGGCCCCCAGCCGCAGGTGGTGGCGCTGGCGGTGGCGGAGATGGCGCTGGCCAGGGTGGAATGCAAGTGCAATCAAGGGTGATCCAGGACGACGCTGGCGTGGCCGGATCCATCCAAAGGACTGGGCCGGATACGGTATCCGGCCTACCCTTGATTGCATGCCTGAACTGTAATGAACCAGGATGGCGCTGGCGCCTCAGTGCTTCAGGATTCAGGATTTGGAGTGCAATGGCGGCGTCGTCGGGCCGCGGGCGATCCGCCCGCGGGCGGCCCCGAGGCTGCCGCCCCGGCCGGGGCCGAGGCGGAGGGCCTGAAAGTGGCGGCCGCCCGCTGATCAGCAGCGCGCTTCGCCGCCCCGAGCGCGGCCGCTGGTGGAAAGAGCGGCGCTTGTCGCGATCGCGCAGCTGGGCCAGCATCGCCTTCCGCCTCGCGACCTAGATCCCGATCCAAGTCAACTAGTGGCAGTCGAGGACAGCGCGTCGCTGTCGCAGCTGTCCGCGGTGCCATGGCAAGTCCATCATTTTCGCGTCTTCGGTGAGGTTGTCTGCGTGGGGGACAAGTGCTGGGGGGCATATCAAGATGCAGTGACGTCTACGCTGGCCTGGTCGAGACACGCGTCGGATCAGCTGGCGCGGGCAGCTGGCGTTCTCGCGCGCGCTCAGCGCGGGCGGTCCATCTGCAACCGCGCCCGCCCGTCGCGGCAGTCCGGGCCGGAAGGGTGGGCGTGGGCCCCCGATCCAGGCGAGCCCCCGCGGGTCGGGGCAAGCGCGCCCGTCTTGCAGCCTCGACGGTTTATTGCTTATATTTCCACCGGTTTCGGGATATTCCTTCGCTGCCATTCTTGTCGCGAGGTTAGTGGCATCGGGCTCGCAGGTTTCAGCGTGCTTCGGTTTTGACGACTCGCCAGCCCAATGGGCCCCCCCAGCCCCCTTGGGCCGTGATCGGGGGCTGGGGCGTCATCCCTGAGCATTCGGGGCCTCGGGCTTTTTGGCGACGTGTTGGTGGAGAAATCAGGTGGGCCGACGTCGACTGCGCCTGTGATCGCGGGGGCGTCCGCGAGCCGTCGCGGACTGCGTCGCGCGCTGGGCAGCTGCCCGCCCCCGCTTCGGCCCAGTTGCCGCGGTCCGCGACGCGCAGTGGAAGCCGCGCCTCGCGCTCGGAACTCAGTCTGTTCAGTCAGGGAAACAGCTCCTCGCGCGCGCCTTCGAGCCCCCGCGGCGACTGCTCGGCGTCGCCCGATCCGCTTGGCGCTTAGGCCCCGACCCCAGGCTCCTACGTCGAGCCTGGCCAGAGCCAGATGGGCCGAGCGAGCGGCCGGGGCCGCCAGGCGGAAGGGGGCAGGTTCATTCGACGACGCTTGTGATGACCCCTCTAGTTGCGCGGGCGATCCTGCGTCGGATGTCGAGATGCACCGAGGCCCGAAGTCCGAGGGGTGCCCGGGGGCCGACGGGCGTTGTTCAAGCAGCTCGCAACGTCAGCTCGTCTACCGGAGCTCGCAGCGCCCAGGAGCGCGATCGCGCTTCAGATCTTCGCCTCACCGAATCAGCCAGTCGAACCTGTGATGCAGGAGCTTGTTAATTCAGCAGTCCAGCGCGGGGGCCAATTTCGCGCGCCTGCAGGGTACTAGGGGGCGGAGTCGGCCGCGCCTGGTGCCTCCCCCCCGCCGAGCTCTGAAATTCTCTGGGGCAGTGGTGCTGGCTGGCACCGGGAACTCATTGGTTTGCTGCCCCTCAGCTCCACTCGCCCTGCTGCTGCCGCTGCTGCTGCTACCCGCTAAGTGGCTTTCTTTCGATCAAAAGAGATACTTCAAGTCAGAGGCTCAGGCAGCTCTGCGGCTCCTGGGTTGCAGCTGTCGAGAACGCCGTTCGCTCGCGCGGCGACCAGGCCTTCCTCGGTTGTGCCGCGTCAGCGGGCCCCGAGTTTCGAGGCGTCGCAGTTCGAGAATAGCAGAGCAGGTGGGGGTAGGCATTGCGCGGTCTCGGCAGCTCGCGGCGGGTGCGATGATTGCGCGCCACCCTGCAGAACGTCTGCCGCCGCAAGGCGGGGGGTAGCAGTCGACGGCAGCCCGGCCGCTTTCCGCCATCGGCATTCCTGCAGCGAGCGCTAATCCGCCCAGGTGTCAGTTGTCACCCGAGAACGCGACGGAATCCGTTGGGGGCAGTTGGTTGCGCTCCTGGCTTCTAGGGTCCAGTCGGCCGCGGACATCAGCGCTGCGGCGCGCGCTGGCGCGGCGGGTTTTGCCGCCCGGCGGGCCCAGCTGCGAGCGATGAGGAAGCGCCTCCACGATTCCTGAACGCGGGCCGTCGCCGAGTCGGCCATCGGCGCGCCGCGTAGGTCTCTGCGACTGCAGCCGCAGCCGGCCGGATCTGTCCCGACCGAGGGCGGCGCGGTCGCCCACCCTGGGGGCCCCGTCGGCAGGTCGGCGGAGGGTCGGAGTCAGCGGCGGGCGCCGCTCGGCCGGGGCGCCGCCTGCACGCCCGAACTGTTTGGTCAGATTCGAGGGCGGATTCAGCAGTGAGGGCCAGCGCCCTCGCGGGGCGGGGCGTCCACAGGGCGCTCCAACGGCAGCGAGCGTCTACGGCCGTGGGGGCTGGCCGTCTTCGGCCCGCCGACCTCAGGGTGCCCGACGAGGCGCTCGAGGAGCTGGCCATCGCCCTCAACCTCGCCGAGCAGACGGTTTCGCGGCCGCTCGAGCTTCTCCTCGCCTTTGGGGCCACGAGGGCCAGGAAGGGCGCGGGCGGCCGCGTCGTCGGCCCCCTCCCCGAGATAGCCAGGCTGGTCCATGCGCCGCAAGGGTGATGTCCAGCAGTGGAAACGGGGCTGGCTCGCACACTGGGGCGCGCCCGTCAAGGGCGACTCAGACCTCCGCGATTCGTGCCAGCGTGCTCTGCAAGAGGAGTTGTCGGCCTAGGTTCAGACCTCGCCGGGCTACGACCCCTTCGTCCCCGACGACATTGACTAGGCTATTCTCGGTGAGCTGGCGTTCGACGTCGATTTCCCCGCGGGGGTCCTGGGCCTTGAGATTCCCAATGCATTGCGCCGCGGGTGCTCGCGCAGAGCGGCGCGTGCGCGGAGGCGATCTCGCCCGCTCGATCAGTCGCCCAGGGCCTCTGGGGCGTTTCGCAACTGCCGCGCGCGCAGGCCTCGCGCATCGCACGTGGGTCGAAGACTCGTCGCAGCGAGTGTAGGGGCCACGTGGCGCCATCCACGCGCACGTGGTCAATTGTCTCGCCCGCG